TTGCCACTCCCCATCAAGAAGGAGAGTCCAATTCTCCTCCTCTTAAATCCAGGCTGGCCTTAACGGTTCACTTGTAACCAACAGAATGAGGCAAAAGTGATACTGAATGATTTTGAGCCTTGCAGCTTCTTTCTCAGTCTCTGGAAGACTGTCTCCAGATGCTGCCAGGCTGTGAAAAGCCCAAGCTACATGGAGAGGACACGCAGGCCCTCTAGTCAACTGCCCCAGCCAAGCCCAGTGCTCAAGCCCTCCCAGTCCAGCGCCAAATGAGCAAAGAAGTCTTGTTGGAAATGGATTCTCCAACCCGTTGTTTCAACTCCCAGCTGATCAAGTCATACCCATCCACTCTAGTCTACCCACCTGAAAACCCAAACATCACAGAGCAGACAAAGCATCCCCACTGTCTCTTCTCTGAATCTCTGACTCAAGAATTTCTAAGAATAAAATCATTGTTGTTTTATACAAGATTTCTGGGTGTTGTGAAAGGCAGCAATAGATGACTGGAACGTACACTTGGGTAACACAGCCATCCCCTCACTTTAATGACTATATTCCACGTTTTTCTTCCCCTTTATTGAAACATTCATTCCCAAATAATTTTTTGCCAATGACAAATGTCTACTGTTAATTTCTACATTTATTTTGACAGTTCAACTTTAGAAACCATCACATCCAATAAAACCATTTACTGGGGTTTGGTTTCCAGATTACTTGTTTTAAAAGCTTCTTTCTAACATCCTCTCCACTTACTGCAATTATTTCAGTTTTTTTCATCCTTTTATTCTAATCTATGTTTGAATTAGGTCATGACTAAAGACATAATTACTTGAAGCAAGATGCCATGCACCCAATTATCACTATGATAAGTAAATACTCTGTCAGGCATAAGAATTATTCAGCACTTATTGTAAACAAAGCTCTATACTGGGGCTTCAGATGTGTATCATTATAAATGCTTTATCAATGAGAGTTGACTATAGTAAATTTTATATATCTACTCTCATCCACAAGTATTATTTTGCCAGAAAAGCACATTTTACTGTTTTTAACAAAAGACTATTCTTGTTCAAAATATAATCTTAATATAAACTCTTCAAACCATTGCATTTTTATAAATAGAGTCTATTTTATAACTTGCTACTATCTTTAATAGGTATAAATCGGTCACTCACAAATCATAGCACAAATTAATCAAGCCCTTCATTCTCCTGAAAGAACTTCATTTTCTTTATGCATCTTTGTAACTATGTGACAGAGAAAAATTTAATCCTGTTGCTTCTGAGTGTATAGTCACTTCTACATGAAAATTTAGACTTTTTACAAGATAGTCGGTTAAAGTCAGGTATCATCATCTCGGTTACAATTCAGAGCTCCCTTCTGGAACTCTTTGGCATCCAAGGATCTCCCACCTAGTGTTACTTCTGCTTTCACCCTGCTCAGCTGCGCCCTCCCAGGGTTGTCTGCACGGAGATTCTGCTTTTTTACTGACATTTATTAAGGGTGAACAAGCTGTACGTCTGGTCAACATTATCCTCCTTCTGGTTCTGGAAGGTGCAGTGGAAAAACACTGGGCAAGGCAGATATAGGCAATGGCAAGACAGTGGCTGGAGTAATAGCCCAAGCTTTCTAGGATGGACAAAGAATGAAGTGAAGAAGAGAGGGCTGATGGACAGGGAGAAAATGAAGGGCCAAAAGATCCAAAGGGACTGGAGAATGGGTAAAATCTGAAAAAAGAAGGGAGAGCTGGTCGAGAAGTTCATTCGTTTAACCAACAGATATTTACAGAGACTCTTCCATCTGGTTATTCTGGAATTTAAGACTGAGAGGAAATGTACTAGGAGCTTGAGCAAAGGTAAAGATCACAGAATTTGAAAAGGTCAAGAACTATGAGACCAGGATGTTAGAGGGCCACTGACGGATGGTGACTCTCTGTTGAGTGTCGGAAGCAACAAGGAGAGGTGTGTGCAGAAGAGCCCATTGGCCTGAATCTCAAGAACTATATTTACATAAGAGTCTTGGAGTGATGGTTTCCAAGTTGCGGTGAGGGCTAGAAGAAAGAGATGTTATCTCTAGGACCTCTGGTTGATGACGTGTGAAAATGAGTAGGGATCACCTGCAAAGGCAACAGAAAAAGCAGTATCCTGGGGAGACAGTAAGGTTTTCAATTAAAGTAAGAAGACAGAGGATTTTATGAGGAGATGTGACTGCAGAGACATTTGGTCTCACCATTTTGAACACATCAGACTGTGGATTTTACACAGGATTCCAAACACGCTGGAGAGAGGTGACCAGGGTTAGTCTTCTTATTTACAATTGTAAAACTGGAAGAAAGTTACTTTAAACATCTCTAAGCCTCAGGTTTTTTCTGTAAAGTGAAGAGAATAATATCTACTTCATAAAGTTATGATGAGAAACAACAATGTATGTAAAGTGCCAGAGACAGTTCACAATACACTTTTTGGTTTAACTGTTTTTGTTGTTATTGATATGGCCATCCCAAAAAACTGTAACCAGGCACACAGGGGACAAGCCTGGTCAGCTCCACTGCCTCCCAACCTGTGATAAAAGCAGTTGTGTTCAGCAGAGGCAACGGAAGGACCCAGAACGCTCTTACTGAGCTGGCCAGAGTTTCACTCAGATAACACAAACATGAAGAGGCTTGCCCAACACTGCTTTGTCTCAGGTATTTTCTGTCTTGTACATTTGTTAGATTGCAAGCTCCTGAAAGACAAGCTCCTCAACTTACGTGGGTCCCCCACAGTGTCTACTATTTACTAGCTACTCAAAATGGCTGCTGAATGACTATCCATATAGGGATACATAAAACAGGCAAAGTTCTATGCAGCAGAGATGCTAATCCTAGAGGCTATATTTGGCACAATCCCTCTTCTTTTGTTAAATACCTTCTACACTACTTTTCTAAAAGACGTCTAGATTTTATAAAATGTCATTTTCAGATTTCAGATTAAGTATCAACCAACAAAAAGGTGACAACCTAAAAAAAGAATCCCATACAACCCGTAAATAGGAGAATTTTGATATTTTCATTTACTCCATTCATTATTTTTAGGATGCCAAACTATGTAGGAATTTTGTATAAACAAAATAATCAAGTTAGAAAAGATGGTTTGATCAAATAATTCACTTAAATACACCACATTTTTCTTAAAAATTCTCATCTCTTGTTTAACATGTATTAAATACCTATAATTTCCTAGTTGCTACTAAAAAAAACTTAAGCACAGTAAGATTCTGCAGTCTAAGACCATACATTCTACCTTATTTAGCCATATGACTGCAGAATGGATACATGTTAAATTCCAGTATCCATCTTCATCCCCTGGTTCCTCCAGCATGGACCCCCTTCTTACGTACTCCTTGTAATCCCTGAGTCGATATTTAAATACCAAACCAAACATCCACACCCACAGCCACCCACACAAATAAAACTTATTCCTTACATCCTCAGAACCCATTTCTGTCCCTCTCAGCCAAAGATACGGATTCTCTTCCAACAGAAGCCATAGTTTATGTAGCACCTAACCCATCATGGGATCTAGAATTGACTTGGGCATTCACCCAGACACCCAGTGCTGCCTTCTACAAAGGGCCACATGGCCCAGTGAGACAAATCCAAGTTCACATCCCAGCTCTTCTAGCAGCACGGCCTAGAGCAAGTCATTTAGCCCCTTTAATACTCAGCTCCCTCAGGAAGTCTAACATCAGCCTCATGGGGCTATGGTGAGAATTAAATATCGTAAGAAAACAGCATGTAACGGTTGCTTAAAAACATACTGTGATTGTTCCAAGTCACTCTTTTTCACCCATAATGAAAAACACCTCCTGCTTTATGACTTGTCCTGTTACTTAGTTTTATCACTCAACCTGCCTCATCACAGTAACAAACCAGCCTCCAAATCACAGCCCACATTCAGTGTAGATTTAAGCCTGGAACTCACAAATTTCCCTTCTATTCCAACTCTGCCTCTATCTTTGGAGATTTTAAAGATGCGTGAACCAGATTTATAGTTCTTTGGGATTCCTAACTCTAATAACATTCAGTCCCTTATAAACATTCTCAAGACTGTACCCTTGTTAAAACTTATTCCACCTCATAAGTCTTAATACAGTCCCCTCTCATGCTCCAACTCCTTGCTGTCATCCCTCAGTCTCTGAGCATTATCTATATACACACCACTGGTCTTCTCAATTCCTAAAATTTCCTTAATCTATTAGCTCCATCCTCACCTCCTTCCCTATGCAGCACATAACTAACGGCAGATTAACTGAACTACTCTCTACCGCAGCTCTTTAACTCTCTTAAACCCCAGTTCTTCTGCTACACCTATCAGGCAAAACTCAGACCCTGGATTAATCCTTTAACATCCCTTCTCTCCTCCATTTGGTGAACAATGGTCCACTCCACAGGACTGCATAAGACTTTGCAGAAAACTGTGAAGCATTCAAATTGATAACAAACATCACATCTAATTTGCTCTTGGGACAACCTCACGTCTTACTGATCCTTTCGCTTGTCTCTGGTCAGTTATTTTCTCCTCCCTCCCCCAGCAACTATTTTAAATGTTCCCTACTCTGCTTAAGGCCCCAACCACTCATGATTTTTTTTGGGTGGGGGAGGAAGACTGGTCCTGAGCTAACATCTGTTGCCAATCTTCCTCTATTTTGTGTGTGGGTCGCCACCACAGCATGGCTGATGAGTAATATAGGTTTGCGCCCAGGATCTGAACCTGTGAACCTGGGCCGCCCAAGCAGAGCATATCCAACTTTAACCACTAGGCCATGGGGCTGGCCCCCACTCGTGAGTTTCATAACTACGTATATACTAACAACTTTAAAATTTCTATTTCTGGTATTGGTCTCTCCCTTTGCTTTAAGATACAGATCCAAATGTTTTCTAAATACTTCTGATACCTGGATATATGTAGCCATCTCAAACTCTGTGAGCTCATTATATCTCTCCTATCAATTCTGCTTCTCACCTGGGGTAACCAGCCTCCAAAATGGCCCCCAAAGACCTCTGTCTCCTGGTAGTCAATCTTTGTGTAGTCACCTCCTCATTTATACCATGGTTGGCCTGTGTAACCAAGAGAACACAGCAAAGGTGATGATATGTCAGTCACTCTAAGATTATGTTATGAAAATACCATAAGCTTCTATCTTGGTCTCTCTCTCCCCCCTCAACCCTCTTGAATTACTTGCCACGGAGAAGCCCAAGTGGAGAAGAATGAAAGTCTCCCACTAACAGCCATATAAGTGAACTCAAAAGTGGAGCCTCCAGCCCCAGTCAAGTCTTCAGCTTAACTGCAGCCTCACAAAAAGCCCTGAGCTAGAACCTCCCAGCTAAGTGACACCTGGATTCCTGAACCTCAGAAACTGTGTGAGATAATAAATGTTTGTTGTTTTAAGATGCTAAATTTGGGAGTATTCTGTTACACAACAATAGATGTCCTTCCTATATGTCTATCTCAGTTGACATTAAAATCCGTTTACTTACCATTCATTTAACCAATATTTGAGTACCCATTATGTGACAGAGACCTGTTATTCTCAATCTTCCCTACAATGAACTGTCACAGAGTCTTGACAAGTTTATCTCCAAAATGTTTCTTGAATCTGCCCCTCAGATTTGAGGTTTCTCAAATCTCCACTCTCTTTCAGCCACCATAGTCCTAATGCATGCCCTCATAATTCTCACCAATACTATATTACTGGAGATTCCCAATTAGTTTCCTTAATTCCCATCTGTCCCTGTCAAGTGATCTATTTAAGACAGAGAGACACAGCACATACTCAAGAGTCAAGGTGGCAGGACCAGGAGAAAGTTCTGTCAAGGAATGAACGACCCTATAATCTTTGTAGACAAGCAACTTAAGCTTGATAGTCTTGGTAGTTTTAGTAAAATAGAAAATAGCTTATCTACACAGTGTGTAAACAGAAAGAAGAGAGGAAACAACTGTGGACAATTCAGAGACAGTGCAGGAATACTGAGTGATCAGATAAAACTGGATTACATGATGTTGGAGAGAACCATATAAGTCCATGCATTTGTTTCCTGTTGCTACCATAACAATTTATCACAAAGTTAGTGGCTTAAAGCAACACAAATTTATTAATCTTATAATTCTTGAGACCAGAAGTCTAAAAAGAGTTTGGGCTACAATCTGGAGGCTCTTGGGGAGACTTCATTTCTTTGCCTTTTCCAGCTTCTAGAGGCCAGCTGCATTCCTTAGCTCTTGGTCCCTTCCAACTTCAGAAACCAGCAATGTCTGGTCAAGTCCTTCCCACATCCCATCACTCTGACATTGACTCTCCCTCTTTCACTCGGAAGGATCCCTGTGATTACACTGCCCCATCCAGGTAATCAAGGATAATCTCTCCATCTCAAGATCTGTAACTTCACCATGTCCGCAAACGTAAGGCAACATATTCACAGACTCCAGGCATTAGGAGCGTGGACGTCTTGGGGGGATTATTCTGCCACAGCCAGTCCCATAATTTTCTCTAGCAGTCCTCCACAATCCAGAAATAGAAACAGAGAAAACAAATAGCAAGGGTGACTCAGAACTGAAGGCGAAAGATGTGTAGGGTCCTAGAGAGAGCAATACTAAAGTGCCAGGCCATGCTTCAGATCAAATTCTTATTTTTTTTCTAGGCCAGTTAACTTTGCGAATTCCTTTACAACCATAGAGTGCTCTTGTCTGGGCTCCTTTTACACCAGTTATCTTCTGATAATCACCAGGGGATTGGGACAAAGTGTGCACAGATATGAACATACTGCACGATTAACAACATTGAAAGTATACATTCTTCTGGGTCATCTAAGGAAGGTTTATGTTAGGATAGAAACCAGTAAGACTAATTATCTGTCAAAGACATTCTATATTTGAATAAATTGTTTTTTAAAAGTTTTCTGTATGTTGCATAAAGTTAATCCAGAAACATCCAACCAAATGTGCTGTAGCCTCGAGGGGTATAAGATTTCTAGTTATCTTTAGGTACCTAGACAAAGGCTTTTAACAAAACCAACTCCCACAATGACAGTCTTACTGGGAAGGAGGTAGCTGCAAACATACTTTAAGCAAATAATGAACATAAAAATTAAGACTTTATTTTAATTAAATTAAAATAAGTCAAGATTATATTTTTAAAGATTTCTTTCTATGCCATGGAATAATTTATACATTTTATTCCTTTTCCTAACCTAGGGCATGGAATAATTTATACATTTGATTCCTTTTTCTGACCTACGGCAATGTGGTAGAGTCAAGTACAGATTATGAAGATGATAATTTACATACAAGGAGAGAATCTGACTGTAATTTTATCCCATGTTTATGATTGTAGGGTGGCTGCCAGGTGACTGGCAACTCATACAAAAGATGACTATTCCCGCCTCCACGATCCCTCCCACTCCTCTCATCTGATGGTGTTTAGGGAGATAATAAGAGTCAAAGTCACACTCGTGTGAGGGTGTTTAGGGTGGTAATAAGAGTCATAGTCACACAGGCCCCTGACAACCCAAGCAGGGGCTAAACAAAATGAACGCAACGTTCTGCATCCATTTTTAGATACAGTGGATCCTCATTATTCATGGACTACATATGTCCAAATTCACCTACTTGCTGAAATTGATATGTAACCTCAAAATTTAACACTCACAGTGAGTTACAGTGCTGTTGGCCATGAGTTCACTGTTGATGAATCAACAATATGTATTAAATAAGGTGTCACTAAACACCTAAAACAAGGTTATGTTTTGATCGGTTGATGAAAACGTGACCAAAGGGTTTCAGGAACATAACCCTGTATTCTGCTAGAACAGAATTGACTCAAAGAAGGAGAAACGACTGCATTTTATTTGCTGTTCAACCTTTACTTTTAAGAGCTGTGGTCCCTAATCATGTAGACCATATCTCCATCAGAAGAGACAATATATACAAAAACATACTTAGGGGCTGGCCCCGTGGCCGAGTGGTTGGGTTTGCGCGCTCTGCTGCAAGCGGCCCAGTGTTTCCTTGGTTCGAATCCTGGGCGCGGACATGGCACTGCTCATCAAACCACGCTGAGGCGGCGTCCCACATGCCACAACTAGAAGGACCCACAACGAAGAATATACAACTATGTACCGGGGGGCTTTGGGGAGAAAAAGGAAAAAAATAAAATCTTTAAAAAAAAATAAAATCTTTAAAAAACATACTTAATTGTTAGAGACTATGTCAGCAGAGGCTGAACCAAGGGGGAGGGGCCTGGAGAGTGGGCAGAAATGGACATGTATTCACCACCTCTCCTACACAGATTATCTCATTTAATCTTTACAATAACTCTATAAGATGGGCTTTGTTATTCTCATTTTACAGACGAGGAGACTGAGGCTCTGAGAAGTTAAAACACTAAAGGTCACACACTAGTAATTGGTGAAGCTGAAATTCAAACTGGGGTCTAACCCACTGAACGACCCCTCTGACTGTATGATGGCACTGCTGCCTCACTGGGCCGTATCGCTTTGGGACTGTGGTGCCCAGACCTGCCCATGAGAGACCTAAACCTACACAGATCCATTAACTCCTGGGTTTCAGAAGACTGAAATTTCCCTTTACCCCCTGGACAAATATGTTATAGAGATTTGTAACCAGAGACTATGTCAACATTATTCTTTATTCCTAAAAACCTTATAAAAGAAGTTGGAAGGCACTAGCATAGTTTATCTAAGAAAACAGGATATATAAATTCTACCCAAAACAGAAAAATCAAACAGAAAAAGTTGCCCATAATTAAACATTTAAAATTTGTCAGATTAAATTAATCTGTTAGTTAGAATGTTCACCTACTTTACTCTGGTCACATTTTTTCAAAAGTCTACTGGAAAAAATGAGAAAAATATATAGTCTCAAAATGGAACAGTAAATTAATAGTATTAAATAATTAATAGTGCCTAGCACAATATCTTCTATAGACTAAGCATTCAATAAAAGTTTACCAACCATATGGATCAATATGCTCTGTTTTAGTCATATTTAAGTGTATCTTCTTTTGCTACTATGAGTAGACTATTATATTAAACACACACAAACAACTTCCCCTCAAAATTACACGTATTTTGTTTATATAGTATTTCACTAGACAAAACACCTAAGAATAAGCATGGAATACTGTTTAGTACTTTGGTTATGAAAATTTTCCTGAAAGAAATGAGACTCTCTTAAGACTGTGCTTCAGGAGGAACAGGATGAAAAACGCAAACACCTGTGAGCACAAAGACACACATTCAGCAGAATAAACTAAATCTCCCCAACCAGAAAGTCAATGTCTAGAATTTGTGCATACTCAAACTTTGCACTTCATTTTATAAAAGAGAGAGAGACATGGCAAATAAAAAAAGAAGTAAAAGAATTTATTCAGAAATAAAATTTCAGAATTTGCCATGAGATTGGTGTAGGTTTGGCCTAATCTCCTGTGCATATCCTGATGATCGTAACAATGCTCTGGAGGTAAGAAAAGATTCTGTGTAATTTATGAATGGTATGGTTTAAATGTAAGTATATTATTTTGGAAGGTAGAATACTATTAATCCCTATGGTAAACTTCTAGTTAACTAAAATAACTCATTCTCCAACAATTTCAAACAAATAGGGATTTATCTTAATATTTTACTAAAATTATCAATAAAATTGATAAATTAAATAAAAATAAAAAATCAATAAAATTTTATTGATAATTTAAACATTAGGAATGTACTTTATGAACCAAATTTTCATTTTCAAACCTTCTGAAACCTCAGAACAGAGATGGTACATATAAATAAGGACATATAAATTAGCAACTTTTAAAAGTCGTTAAAAATACTCTCTCTTTTATAATAAATGAGGTGGCATATGGTAGCTGAGTCTAAAATATCCAAGACCCAAGTATTATGGCTGATCATTTATTTTGTTCTTCCATCCACTATAGGTCCTTTGGTAGTTTCAACCTCCCTTTATATCTCAAAATGACAGTAGTAAAAAACATAGGACAAAAAATTTACATATTCAACCTCACTACTTTTTATACATTCTTGTTAAAAGTTTTGGTAGGCAAGAAAGATGTAAGAATAAAGGAAACAAGTTTGAAGCCTACAAATGATAGTACTCACTGCTGTAGTTCAATAGAAAACTAAGAACACAAGGTTTATTTTCTAAGACGTCAGCATTATGAGTGACTTACTGGAATGAGTTATTCCCTTTGTCTCTCCCCTCTGTGTTACAACCAACTGGACAAGCATTCACCAACAGAGGATTCCCTACACAGCACAACAGGACACACATAAGATTCATGCACCTATACATCTGAAGGTAAGTGGACTGGATCCCTGGGAGGCAGTGGAACTAGAGGATCAGCCCCCTCCCACTCTCCTGGCAGCATTATCCAGGGTAAAGAGTCTCATGCCAACGCATGCACCTGCAAGCAGAGCAGAAACAGCAGGTGCTTCAGCTCGCATGACTGCAAGCAAGGTGAAAACAGCAGGCGGCTTGTGCAAATGCAAGCTGGTGCTGTGGCTCAAACAACTGCAAGCAGACATAGTGTAGGGGCAGAAAAAATAGGTGCAGCTTGCTCCCTGCCCATCTCCCGGCAGATCTAGCATGCTAGGCCCACCCTGAGAAGAGGCCAGGTTTTTTCAACAGTGGGGACAGTAAAAAACTCCGATTTTTCCAGCTAGGGCAGGGTGCCCTGATCTGAGTTTTCAAAACACACCAGGCACTGCCAGAGACCAGAGGCTGAACAGTGAGCAGTAACAACAACCTCTCCCTGCTTGGGCCCTGCTCCCCTCCAGCAGTGGCAGGTGGAACCTTAGAACAGAGGCTTCAGGAACCAGAGCAGAACTGGTGACTCAGCCACCAGTGGCAGCACAGCCCACCAGCAGCAGGGGCTGCATACAAGTCCCTGGGTCCCTGACAGCAATAGTGACAATCATGAACCCAGCATCCCTGGCAGCAGTGGAACCAGCAACCCCAGACAAGGGGGGAGCAGCAACACTTGAGCAGCAGCATCTGAGTTTGTGGAGGAACACAAGACCCAGGCAACGCTGGAAGCAGCAGAAGTGTTTGCAGTCTGGTGACCCCAGCAGCAACAACATCATATGCAGCAAGGTACCAGTAAACTCAGAGGCAGAAGTGACACAGGAAGGCACTGATGATGCCTCTAAGAGAGGCAGTGGAGAGTGAAGTTCAGGCTCTCAAAAACAACCAGAAGGAACTCAGAACCAAAACAGCCAAATAATAAGGGTGGTTACTACCACAAATGCCCTGGCAGAGCATCAACTCATGAAGTACCATGAAGAGCTACAGTAACAAGGCAGAACAGAAAGAGGATGACAACTCTCCAGAACCAAACATTAAATCACAGAAGACTACAACCTAACTGACAGAGAATTCAAATAGCTGTCATAAAGATACTCAATGAGTTACAAAAAAACTCAGAAAGACAAATCAATGAGCTCAGGAATAAATTAACAAACAGAAGGAGTACTTCACCAAAGAGATTGCAACTCTAAAAAAAGCAAAGCAGAAATTCTGGAGATGAAGAACACAATTAATGAGATAAAAAGTAATGTATAAAGCATTAAAAATAGAGCAGACCATATGGAAGAGAGAATTAGTGAGCTCACAGAGGAAGACTGGCAACAGATGTTAGCTCAGAGCCAATCTTCCTCACACACACACACACACAAAAAGTCCATGACCAGACAGCTTCTCTGGTAAATTCTACCAAACATTCAAACAATATTCAATACCTATTCTTCTCAAACTCTTTCGAAAAATTGAAGAGGACAGAATGCTTCCTAACTCATTGTATGAGGCCAACATTGCCCTGATACCAAAACCAGGCAAGGACAACACAAAAAAAGGAAATTTACATGCCAATATCGCTGATGAACATAGATGCAAAAATCCTCAACAAAATATTAGCAAATCAAATACAACAATGCATTAAAAGGATCATTATACCCCACGATCAAGTGGAATTTATTCCAGGGATGCAGGAATGGTTCTATGCCCACGAATCAATCAATGTGAGATGACACATTAACAAAATGAAGAACAAAAATCACATGATCATCTCAATAGAAGCAGAGAAGCATTTGACAAGATCCAACATTCATTTATGATAA